TTTCCATTAAAAAGTATTTTATAGTGAAGATCACCTAAACGTGAATTAATTGTTCCTCTGAACCATTTATGCATTCGCGGATTGTTCGATAAGAAGTACACGCTTTGGCCTGGTGGGAATCCTTACACCTATTACCAGATTGACACTGCATTTACTGCTTTTTTTTCACCTCCTTTACGATTTCCTCTGGCCGAATGAGATCTAAGTGTGTTGGCAGTTGTCGTCCCAAAAACAACTGAGCTGGCGAGAACTCTGTAGTTTAATATGGAGCATTTTTGTACATATTGCCTTAAGAACTCGTTCACATTTTTCTTTAAAGACTTGCTTGTTGTGCCCATTGCCTTTAGTGCATTTTTGATTGTTTGTACGCTACGCTCCGCCAAACCGTTACTAGCTGGATGATACGGAGCTGAATATTTATAATATTTTACACCAACTGTTGTGAGGAAATCGTTAAACTCTATAGAAGTAAAGTTCGTTCCATTGTCAGAAACAACCATAAGAGAAACTCCAAAAGCAGCAAATACAATTACTAGTAACATCACCCTTTCAAATGGCCCTGCATAGTGAATATGAATATGCCCTCATGGCCCTTTTGGGTATTCCCAATGGTGTCTATCGCATTTCATTGGCTTATTTGCTTGTTTCGCGCACTCATCACACTCGTTTATATTCTCAATATCTTTGTCTATTCCTGGCCAATATATAAAAGAACCAGCAATGCCCTTCATCTTTACCATTCCTAAACGCGATATGTATAGTTTCTTTAGTAATCTTTCTCGATAATGTGGATGGATAACGACCCGGTGTTCGAACGTCAAGCATCCTGATGATAACACGTACCTCACTTCTGGCGATTTGTAGCCTTCTCTCTTTAAAGACCGGTCACTTTCCAGTAATCTGATTATCTTGCCTAGGTGCTTGTCCTTTCTGGTTTCCATTGCAATACGGTCTGCTTTATTTAACTGATTTATTTGGCAAATCATGAAGTTATCGAAGTCATCACATTCATCTGAATGAGTCGTTACTGTTTGTTGCAATTGGTTTATTTGTTGCCATTGTGATAATGGAAGGGAAGAACGTGCTTTTGAATTTTTGTATATAACTTCGTAATCGAATCTGCTTAAAAATTCTGCATAGTTAGTCATTCTATTTATGCATAATACTGGAAGCGACTTACTGGGTTAAGGAATCTGTGATAACGGTTTATCATCCGTGCTGCCACACAATTGCTAGTGCCTCTTTATTAATTTGTGTATATCGCTGTTCCGGAGCAGTCATCGTTCAACATGCATAAGCAATTGATCGCTCTACACCATTTTCTGAACGATGTGACAATACAGCACCTAGATCCGTTCGGTTTGCGTCTGAAACTTCACAGGTGTTGTGGCGAGCACACACTTCGACTTATTCAGACGCAGACCATTTAACTTGATACCGCCTAGAGAAGTTTCTAAAAATTGTAACAATTCGACGAAATTCTGAGCAAATATTAAGATATCGTCGAAAAAAATTTAACACGTTCGTCATACCGTGTAGTACTGTCTCCATTCTTTTCTGCCATATCGCTCGTATGTTTGCTGCTCCATAAACTGTACGTGTTGGACGTACTAACTCATGTGTGATTGTGTTTAGAATTAGTATATGTGCAAATTCTTCGTCAATTGTAAGATGGGTGTATGCATCTGTTACATTAAGATAACAAAATATTGTTTTTCATTTTATCAAATAAATCTTCCGCTTTCGCAATTGAATGTTCATCAATGATCATTTGCGAGTTAACTGTAGATTTGTAATTGCCTGTAATGCGAATCCCATCATTTTTCTTTGCGAATAATATACTCTCTTGTAATACCCCGATTGAATCTTTCGATCAATTTCTTTGGCGTAAGCTTCTTTTAATGTCATTGGTCGTGCAAAGACTGGAGTAGCTCCTTTTTAAGATGTACTTTAGCAGGCGGATCACTAACCTTCCCGGCCGTTTTACTAAATACGTCCTTAAAACGCTCGATCAGTTGTTGAAGCCGCTCTCGCTGGTTTGTAGATAGTTCTCGCTCAAGAGGGTTTATTGAATTAATAGAGTTGGACGAAGAAAAAAGTTCAGAAAAGTTAATCTCTCTCGCAAATTCTGATATCCATTCCCTGCCGCAAAGTGTATCACAATCTCCTTGTACGACATACATACTTAGCCGCCGTACTATTTTACCCATTGATGCGGATACTATAATCCGTCCAACGCAATTAGCCTTATGACCTCATGAACTCTTAAGCAACTTGAAATTCGGTTTTATCGTTCGAAGAGTTCTGCAACTAATTACCGTGCATTATGCGCCGGTGTCTAATTCCATTTGAATTTCCTTTCCATCAATTTTTACAGGAACCATCATTCTTCCTACTGCCGTGAGTGCATTATTCTAAGTATTTGTTGGTCTAGTTCCGGTTCATCCTTTGCTATTTGGTCTAATTTTGTTCTGCATATTTTGGCAATGTGGCCGACTTTCCCACAAGCAAAGCATTTGGGCTTACTGAACTTGCACTCTTTTCTTAGGTGCTGATCTCCACATCCATAACAATTAGCTGTTTTTTCTTTTGTCACCCACATCGCTTTTCCATTGTTCTCACTGATGTTACGGTTTGTTTCCATTCGGTCGCAACCTAGCTTATATGTTGGCTCACTTGGTTTCCCTAACTCTGCACTCTTGACGTCTGTTGTTGATTTTTGCTCTCGCTTGATTGTATGCGCAATTTCATATGCTTCAGTGAAAGCTTTTGGTTTTCTAATAACTATTTCATTACAAATAATGTGCGATTCAACTCCATATAGCAATCGCTCCATCAGCATTCTATCTAAGAACTCTCCATACTGACAGAATCTAGCACCGTCTTCTAAGCGAAGTACATACTTGGAAATTTACTCTCCCTTCTCTTGTTTAATTTGTCGGAACCTAACGCTTTCAGCGTACTTATTCCGTGTACCATCAAAATGATGAATTGAAATGTTTTTGTTTCGTTGTATGTGAGCATCTCAGGTGCAGTTAGGCTAGCGATAATTTTAAGAGCATCGTTGAGTTCTGCTCCCATGTGTACACGTACATACTTACCTTGTTCGTCTTCCGGTATCTTACTCAAATCTAGTGAGACTCATATTCCTGATCCCACTTCTGACACCACTTTTGTATTTCTACTTTATTTATTCACGTGATACTAATACATTTGCTTAGTTTAACTTAATGTCTGAAAAACTACTAACATACACTACTTAGTCAAAATCATAAACTGTAAAACTCCACAAAACAGTATTGCCATATTGGTTCATAAACAACAGAAATGTTCTGTGATTTGTGTTGCAAACTTATGAGCATATCTAACAATTATAGAAGCTAAAAGAAGAGAAATAATTGAATTTTCATAGACCATTCTATTTAATTGTTTTCGCTAAAACTTTAATCTTTATAAATATGTTATGTACATGTTATATGTAATAAATTATATTAATTCTGCATATAAAGATATTTTAATAAATGTTTAAGCATGGACAATAACAATAGTATAGGTAAATACTCCAAAGGGTAATCACTGATTTCACAGATTTCGAACTCATCGCAAACATATTGACATTAAAGAGCATTCTATACTTACAACATAGAACGTTCGCCCGCTGTACAAGAATGTAGATGAACAGGACAGGAACAAATAAATAACGAAAACTCTGTTTTCGCCAACCTGAAGGCAAAAAGCATAGCCGCCGAGTTGTTTTTCTTATTACTAAAAGAATAGCAGAAGAAATTATTAAGTGGTTTCCTATCAACGAAAGGTTAAATTGAAATTGAATACACTAGCGTGAACTAGAATGCCTACGCTCCAACATAAGCAAAGTCTAGTGGCATTAAGCTTGTTTATTATGATCAGCTAAATAGTTGGATCAACAACAATTTTAACGCCCAGGTTGGCAGTGAAAACGCTAACTTGACTAGCTATATGGATGTACACGGCATTGGAGTTAGAAATTATAACGGTAGTAAATTGATCGCGCTCAGCTGTAAAAGAAAACTGGTAGCACGATTTTCCCACATAAGTACCAACATGAAATCACATGCGCGTCACCTGATGGTGGAATAAACAGTGTTTATTACGTTATTACATGTAAAGTCCTACCAAAAGTTGCAGCGCTCAAATCGAGCGGAACGAAACCAACACGCAAACTTGATATCTAAAAGCTAGAGGTAAATTCATGCCGAAATGCATTTATTCACTCCATCAGTAACTGCCTGACATCCAACATTAATATGAGAGTAATAGTATAGAAGAGATCAAAATTATAACTACATATAATGAACTTGGTCAACAAATACTAAATTTCAAAGATAAAAAACGTAACGTTTGGCTACACAGTCGATTGCACTGGTTGAGCAGCGCAGGACCCTAAAATGTGAAATGTTAGATGAAGATTTCGCTATTCTACGAGCAAGTTATTAAAAACTATCAAAAATAATCAAAAAGTCAGTTAGAAAAGACAAATGGTTGTAAGTAGAAGACCAAGCAGCAAAAGCTGAAGCTTTTGCTCACGTTTATGATCTCAAGACATTGTATGGGATAACGCGCGCACTTTACCCACTCATACAAATAGTCCCATTAATAGCAGTACCGGAAAAGTTCTTACTACTTCTAACGAGCAGCTAATGCGTTTAATGAAACTTTATAAGTTTACACTTAATAGCCTAATTGGACTAGCGCCTAGTGGTCGAGAAGAATGCCTGCCAACCACGTGGAATGAAGGTATCGTGGTCAAAATACCCAACAAAAGGAGAAGCAAAGGACTGCAATAATTAAAACGGTATAATGTTGCTCTGTATACCAAGTAAAATACTAAGTCATTTAACCGTTTCCAAAAAGCTTTTGACAGTATAAACATAGGTTGTCTGGGAAAAATTTTCGAGATGCAGCACATCGTTTCAAAAATTATAAACCTTATAAAAGCAATGTACTATGAGTTTAAATGCCGAGTGCACCATGGCGGACGATTATCTACCGCGTTTGAAATTGCCACGGGCGTAAAACAGGGCCGTATATTGACACCAACATTATTTATTCTTATGGTGGACGACATAATGCACCAGTCGCTGAGTGGAAGAAAGGGAATCTAGTGGAATCGCTTCACACAATTAAAGATCTATAATATGCAGATGACGTCAGCCTCCTCAAACTTCTAATAATTTGCAAACGAATATTGATATCTTTTACAGTAAGTCTTTAAAAGCCGGATTAGAAGTCAGCATAAAAATTGGTGGCTAAAGCACCAACCCTACCCCGGTTGTAATTTAAATTAAACCAATTGAACAGCGAATATGTTAACACCTTCATTTACCTTGATAGCATTACCACTACTAAAGGTGGGGCTGATATGTACATATCGGTGTACATAAACAACGCTAAGGCTTCATTCGGCATGCTACGCTCTATCTGGAAATCTCGACATATCTCTGTAAAAAACCAAACTGCGCATCTATAATTCCAACATTAAACCGCAGATCTTTTGTAGATGTGAGACGTTGAAACACACTACCGTCATCGACATACGGCAAAAAACTTTTTCAACAAATGCTTCCATCGAATTCTCAACATCTGGTGACCTAATCATATCAGCAAAGCTAACCTTTGGGCTACCACCAATCAAATGTCAACTTCTAAAGAAGTATGCATGCGCAGATGGCGTTGGATTGGTCATATCTTTCGCAGACTCCCTGACAACATTGATCGTCAATTACTCAGATGGAGTCCCCAGGGAAGTGATCGTCGTTTGGAGCGCTTGCTAGAACATGGTGAAGGACTGTCAATGTAGAATTGCAAGAAGCAAATTATTCTTAGAATGACATCAACCGAGAGGTAAGCAATAGAGTTCGATACAAAGGAATGGTGAAAGCTCTATGCGAAGACGAAGATGTTATCATTATTTGTATGGGCACTCCATAACCTTACAATTAACAGACTATAAACCTCTATCAGTGTAAAATTTGCAATAACTGGTGCCACCTTTGACACCGTTCAGGTTTGCATAGCATACCTATTGAAACCCTACCTTTAGAGCTAACATAGTTATTTCAAAACTGCTCTAAATAGACATTCTTCATCTTCATTGACCTTTGGCCCTCCTTTTCCAATCATCTAGGTCATTTAATTAAATTTTAAATAAAATTTTTATCTCTCCCAATTCTATTTCCACCTCGGCAGCACACACCAGATATTTTTCGCCGTTTAGATTGGAACTCCTGTTTTAAGTTAGGTGATTTGAATGGTCGCCAACCTCCGTGGTTTTCTAACGTACCATCTGATCATAGGGACCACATATAAGCAACCCCAATTAATAAATCCTTAATTGATGTTTTAAATGAAGACTCGTCACCTTTGGTAAGTCCAACTTTAATTCCCCTGATGTCAGCCAAGACCAAGGATGTTTGGAATGTTTTTATAGCACTAAGCTGCGATAGCACTCCTATTACAATCATTATCTTATATATCGACGTTCATACTGAAGCTGACAAGAAACCGTATAGAAGCTTCCAAAAAGCGAACTGGGATGAACGATTTGGAGAAAACCATCTCCGAACTGCAAAATAAAAACCTGCTATGTCTGTGAAACATGATGTTTGTATAGAACTACAAGTCTGTTACAGGTGTCGGCGAATTGGAATTCATTGACGACATTATGGGCGAAAAATATTATATAAATATCCTTAAGTGTCATTGTAAAAACTGTACAATACTGTGTAACTTAGGGAAAACCTAAGTTATATACACCATAATAAATACCACCGTAACAGATTTAAATATATAAGATGTAAATGTCACATTACACACTTGAATATGCAAGGGGGAAGTACTCAATTTACAGGCTTGATTATATTAGACATTAATACTGAGTTAACAGAAAAAACTTAAAATTATATAAATTTCTTTTCAATATATATAAAATAATAAAATATTAAATATTTACCTCGGTAATAACAACAGCTTCAATTGCGTTGATAGATACATTATCTGGTATAGCATAGCATTCAAGTTTCGTGCTGAATTCAATTTTTTGTGAAGGAAAATTAAAAACCGGCGAGTTAACCTAAAAAAAAATAAAAAACTTTGCAGTTTACTTGAATTACAGTTAAATACTTTAGTAAAGATTGTGATTGGCACATATCACTTTTTCTGTCCTTGCTTTCTTTCGATCATTTGCTACCTGTATCCGTCTAAACAGATAACAGTATACGTGCGACTTTTTTTGTTCTTTTACTCATAGCAAAAGTATGGTAATTTGCTTATGCAATACTCTCATGTGAATAAAATTCTTTCATTTTTATAATGAAAAAAATATGTTTCATTTTAATTTCCTAAGGATAACAAAATTAAAATAAACGTTATGAAAAAAAACTTAATATAAAATAAAAAATATGAAAACTTTACTTAAAACGAACCTTGGATTTTGTAATATGGATATTTCAATTTAATTAAATATGGCCGTATGGCGTCAATGGTTACATGAACATTGGTTTCTTATGCTTCAAGAGTTGCTGGTTTGTCGGCATAAAGCAATGACTTAACATAGCTCCATAAAAAATAATCGAGAGGATTTAAACGCACGAACGAGGGGGCCAGTTAATAGGACCACTTTTGGGAATAAAGTTGTAACTAAATTGATGTCTCAATAAATTAATTGTTAACCACATTGCATGATCGTTGCATTTAAATGTCTTCGATGTTCGATGTTTAACTGATTTTGTGACGTAGGTGTTAATCCTTCTAAGACAGAACTGTTACTGTTTACTAAAAAATATAAAATTCCTTACTTTCCGCTGCCAAGATTAAATGGCCAAAGATTAACTCTTTCGCACAAGTATCTAGGAGTAATTCTTGACACAAAACTTAACTGGAAAGCCAACATCGACGAAAGAATTCGTAAAGCTTGTGTGGCATTCTATGTGTGCAAAAGGATGTACGGTAAGAGCTGGGGATTGCAGCCCAAAGTGATTCTCTGGCTTTACACAGCCGTCGTTCGGCCAATATTAACATATGGATGTCTGGTGTGGTGGCTTTCGTTGAACAAACAGTACATTGTTCAAAGACTAACCAGAATGCAAAGATCTGCCTGTGTGGGAGCTACAGGGGCTCTAAGATCTTGCCCCACCAGTGGGCTCAATGTCATACTTAATTTGCTACCTATTGATATTTACATCAAGCAAGCTGCTACTCTTAGCGCGCAGAGGCTTAAAGATCTAAACTGTTGGCGCTCGAGTGCTTTAGGACATGGTAACATCACATCACTCTATCCGATAGATGATGCCAGGGATTCAGACTACCTATGTCCTCGGTTACTATTCGACAATAACTTCGCCACCAAAATTCCTTCAAGAGGGGATTGGGAGGCGGGATTGCTTACAACTCGACGAAAGATAGCGATCTACACCGACGATTCTAAAATGGATAAAGGCGTTGGAGCCTGATTCTTTTTTACGGACCTAATGATTAGTAAATCATACCACCTTTCAGATTCCACCTCGATATTTCAGGCTGAAGTTTTTGCCATCCTTAGGGCAAGTGTTCTTGCTTTAAATATGCGCCTTCACGGAAAAGAGGTCTGCATTCTAACTGACAGTCAGGCAGCTATTAAAGCTTTATCAGCAGTCTGTCTGTCATCGAGATTAGTCGAAGAATGTAAGGAAATTGTGAACTAAGTGAGAGGTCCAAGGTTACTCTAGTATGGGTTCCCGGGCATTCTAATATTGTGGGAAATGAGCGCGCTGGCGAGCTTGCTAAGCTAGGCGACTCTTCCACGGATACCCCTATTTCGATCCCTGCCCCTGTCAGCTACGGGCGTAGGCTGATTTGTGACCATTTTTTGCGACAGGCAAATAGTGAGTGGACCCTTACTATCTCAGCAGCCAGGTCAAGGGCTACTTGGCCCATCTATTCCAAATATAGAACCTCTGACTTAATCTGTAGAAACAAATCTGAGGTTTCTAAGCTAATATCTGTCTTTACGGGTCACTGGTCCATAGGACGGCATGGAGCTAGACTTGGCCTTCCCTGTGGTACCTCATGTAGTGCGTGTCTACCAATACTTGATGAAATGACACCAGAACACCTGATGTGTTTTTGTCCAGGTCTGGCCAGAATTAGGTTTAAGTTTCTAGGGGCCTCTTTCTTCAACTCACTTAGCGATATCTCCAGCATCAGCATTAGCCAGATTCTTGCCTTTGTTAATGCCTCTGGTTGGTTCTAGTTTGACTCTCTATCTACTACCCACTATTACGAGGTTTTTGTGGACTCAAAACGGCTTTCATCCTTAGCTATTTGAGGAGGATTCGTCGTCCCTGCACCTCAACTATCTAACTATGAGACACTGTTTTGTGTTTTATGATAGCATTTATTATTTGTCATGAAAAGCATAAAAATTATAAGTAGAAATAGAATCAAGAGCGTAAGCGTTCGAAACGTTGTAATCGTTGAAATCGTTGAAACCGTTGAAAGCGTTGTGATCGTTGGGAAGCGTTGCAAGCGTTAGAATCGTTGAAATCGTTGTGACCGTTGGGAACGTTGAAATCGTGGTAAGCGTTGCAATCGTTGAAATCGTTGTGACCGTGGGAAGCGTTGTCAGCGTTGAAAGCATTGGGATCGTTGAAACTGTCAGGATCGTTGGAAAGCGTTGAAATCGTTGAAGCGTTGAAATCGTTGAAACGTTGAAAGCGTTGGAGTCGTTGTAGCTAGCAATGTACAACCTGCAATGGTGCGAAATCAAAAATGCCACGTCGAAATCGTTGGACAGCGTTGGAAACGTTGGGAGCGATTGTAACCGTTGGGAAGCGTTGGAGTTATCGAAGTCAACAATGCTAAACCTGTAATAGTGAGAAATCACAAATGCCACGTCGAAATCGTTAGGACGCGTTGGAAACGTTGTGAGCGATTGTAACTGTTGAGAAAAAGTTGGAGTTGTCGAAGTCAGCAATGCTAAACCTGCAATGGTGTAAAATCACAAATGCCCATGAAAACGTTGTTAAATGTTTGGATGAAAATCCTTGCCAACTATAGCCAGGCAAAGATACCTTCCCTGGTGCTATGCCTGAACACGCTCGTCAGCAATTGCCAAATGCTGGTATATTCTGCACGTGTCCTAACAGTGTTGATGACTTGTCATCCATTGCTCCATCAGCTTTAGCCAGATGGTAATCCGGATGACTGGTTGAGTTGCCCTATGCCAGCTACAGCCAAGCAGGAGGCAACCCACCCATTGTCACTTCACCCAGACCTGTTCGTCCATCCACATGGTGATCGTCAGCAATGGCCTCATTCTATGTCGTTTTCCCTATATTTACTTTTATTATTAATTTAATTGGTGAGGGTTAAATTTGATCCTTACAATAAAAATAGCTCATGACTCATAAATCATAGCATATACTCGAATGATATGAATCAATAAATATACTCATCGAAAATTAATGACTCGCTCACTTGTAGCATTCGTAAAAACTTTGTGTGAAAGTTGATGTTTCCTAAGCAAAATTCAGTTTCTCCAAAATGGTTCAGATGGAATAGGCCATCGGATTTGTATCTGGCTAAATCTAAAGCCATTGTGTGAACGAAATAAAATATTGAACATGATTTTTGTCACCTTTATTGGTTCACAACAGCTTCATGAAACGGCGCCCAGTCTTGTTGGAACGATCATGGTCTACGACAGAAATTGTGCCCAAGGCTCTAAAGTAACTTTCAAAACATTTTTTCAATATCAAATTGCAAAGACCTTGACATCAGACTTAATGAAAACGATTGGAGAGTGTCCATTGGCGGTCACAGCTGCCCATGCCATTACTTGAGATAGAAAATTACTTCAGATGGTCACTCATATTCTCAAATTTTCGGCAGTGTGGGTAGCTAAATAAACACGATCATTTTGAGAGTTTATGAACTGTCCAATGGGGAAATTATTTTCATCAGAGAACACAATGTTTGGAAATTCGCAACAGTCATGCAAGCGTAACAACTTTTTTACTCTTTCGAGTATAACTTTTTGTTGCTTTGGTGTAAGATCTTGTGCCTTTTGCAATTTGTAAGGCTTTATCTTGAGCTCATGGGGAATATTCGTCGGATGCTTTGCTAGGATATTTTCAGTTCTTGTATTTGATTACCACTACGAAGTGGATTTCGACCCTTCACTTTCCAAACCATTTCAGGT